TATATCAAATGCTATTTAGGAACTGCATTCACAGTTTTCATATCGATTTATTTTTTGGGTTATTTTAAGAAAAGTTCTCTTGACTCCTTAMGATAATTCCTGAATAGGCATGACAAAGTCGAATACAGTTTTTTTCCTTTGATTTTTTGCTTGTTTAGCAATTTTCTTCATCCATTTTGAATACAAAAAAAGTGTTTTGACCTAGCCAATGCCTCGCTTTGGTTATGCAGCACCAACATCTTGGGAAAGGGCCATTCAACAACAAAATTTCCTCAGCTCGCATTAGTCATTGACCATGCGACGCGATAATGCCTGCAGTGTTGCCCGTAAGTTGACAAGTTCGTGCCAGACTTGTGAACTTCCTTTACATACTTCATTCACATGGTACAAAGTACTTCTGAGTTTTGAAGTAGACTTCTTAAATCTAGTAGCCAATGTTTTATGAACTCCAATCTTTCTATGTTGCACATACATGTACATGTAGCCATAAATAGCCGACTTTAGATATTTYGGTTYAGTKACCATGCASRAAAGAAWTGCAGACGAGGCTCCRGGGAAATAAAAGAATAAATCAAGATTATCGATTGTTTCCCGGAGCCTTGTGTGCGTTCTTTTGTATATAGTCATCGAACCGAAATATCCCTAAAGTTGACTAGTACTAGGGGTGTTGGAAGATTGGGGAAAAAGAGTACTATACTTTACTGTTAAAGAATCATAACCAACTGCCGTACCTTACAAACCGAAGCGCCATTTTAGGAGGACACGAAAATGGCGGATTWGTAGGATTTCTTAAAGTGAGCGCGAATCGTCTTCCGTCCTTTCAGTTTGGACAGAAATACCTTTAACTAAGTACCTCACAGGTACTATMAATCTATAATYTATTGTATGCTTGACKCATTTAAACGTATGTAARCAATAATACGGGCACGCAAGGTACGGCGGTTGCTTATGATTCTTTAAACCTCCATTGTTCAAATTAGTCATTTACAATAACTTGTAATCTTTGTTTTAATACAGTGCTGAAGGGACAAAGTACATTAAAGCCAAAGAATGGGGTATCCCATGTGTCAGTGCGAAGTGGATAGGCGATATTCTGTCAAGTAAGGAACTTAAGTAACAATGCGCTAAAGAACTAGGGAACTCTCTATTGTTCTGCGGCATAGCAAGTTCCCCATGTACGAATGTCTTGGTTTTCACACTGATTATGTATTAACCTATAGGTAACACATATCTGAAATAAAATGTGGATAAACTCTATTTTGAAACAAAGTTTCTTTTGTATTAAAAGCTCTTATCCAATCATACAGCACTCAAAACAATAGCCAAAAGATGCTTCTAATTTGCAATGTTCCCCACATAGAATTGCCTTAATATTGAAGCTAAAGGAAGCTTTCATGAAAGCGAAAACAGACATTAAATAAAATATTAGAAAATTCGCTATCTTGTGAAATTATAGCAGATTTTCATGTTTTAACCAATGGGATGGATGGATTATACAATGCACAATTACCACCTTCTCGCATTCCTTTGCCGTTTGCTTCCCTAGTTCTTACTCGGGGCATTACTTAAACAATGGCAATGTTCACCGACGCCATTTTGTACAGCAAAGCATGATGGTTGTTGTCCTCATCTTCTTAATGGTATTTTTTACGCTTTCGTTGTAGAAAAAATATAATAACATCCATTTTAGCTTATTAAAAGGAAAAAAAAAACGTTTTAGAAGGACAGTTTTAGTGGACATGAAAAAGTACGAGGACTACAACTACCCTCGTGCTTTCCTTCACAAAATGTCCTCGCTGCACAATGCATATTGAATCATTGCTGTCTCTTGTAACTCAGTTTCTTCAGACTGCATTTGGGTCTAATTGACCCAGTGTGGGGCCGGGGTATTATGTACTTACATTATTAGATAGTTGTACACATGTATTTCGTCTTTTTTATGTAGCCGGTAAAGTACCTCCATGTGCCCTCAAAAAGTACTCACTCTATGGAAAAGAGGACGACTTGATAATTACAAAGGAAAATGTCAAGGATTTGCTAGGTATGCCAAGTGCAATGTATGCAAAATATCCGTCAAATTTGTATGGTGAGACCAGTGTTACTTACTAACTTGGAAACGCTGCTGCTTTCAAGGTTTAAAGGGCCATGGACACCCAGCATCCCTTACGAGGCTTTCTTTATGCTTTAACATAAAAGTACATTGTAATATAAACAGAAACTCTTTGTTAACCAGTTAACCTTTATGGTTGAAGATATTGAAATGATGGGAACTAGTAGTAAACTAGTGTGAGCTTCGTCGGTGTTTCTAAAGAAACAGTTGTGTAAAAAGATAAATTTAACACCGTAAAAAAATTGGTGAAACATCTTACTGACGTTTCGGAGTTAAAAGAGACACAGAAAGATTCGACCACAAAACCGACGGATTGGAAACGGATTGCGAATGGATATTTGAAAATACCACATACTCCATGTGTGAAAAGTTTAAAACACGACCGAATTGAATGCTGGTGGACTATGGCCCTTTAAATCAAGAAAAAAAAACATGCTAGTTTTAAATGCTAGTTTTAACGAAGCCAACAAGATAAGATATGATAAAAGTTGCCGATGTTTTTTTGACAATTCCTAAGTATTTACAAATTTGTTTTCTAATACATACTTTAATAACTTCTTAGAGCCATGGAAGGATGACATTGCTGCCGAGGTAAGGATCAAGAAACTTCAGTTGTTAGCCTCAATAGCCCTTTTAACAAACGACCGCCATCTTGAATTATAATATTTNACGTATGTAAGCAATAATACGGGCACGCAAGGTACGGCGGTTGCTTATGATTCTTTAAACCTCCATTGTTCAAATTAGTCATTTACAATAACTTGTAATCTTTGTTTTAATACAGTGCTGAAGGGACAAAGTACATTAAAGCCAAAGAATGGGGTATCCCATGTGTCAGTGCGAAGTGGATAGGCGATATTCTGTCAAGTAAGGAACTTAAACAATGGCAATGTTCACCGACGCCATTTTGTACAGCAAAGCATGATGGTTGTTGTCCTCAAACAAAGTATATACCCTAAAATATCTTCTTAATGGTATTTTTTACGCTTTCGTTGTAGAAAMAATATAATAACATCCATTTTAGCTTATTAAAAGAAAAAAAAAACGTTTTAGAAGGACAGTTTTAGTGGACATGAAAAAGTACGAGGACTACAACTACCCTCGTGCTTTCCTTCACAAAATGACCTCGCTGCACAATGCATATTGAATCATTGCTGTCTCTTGTAACTCAGTCTTTTCAGACTACATTTGGGTCTAATTGACCCAGTGTGGGGCCGGGTTATTATGCACTTACATTATTAGATAGTTGTACATGTATTTCTTCTTTTTTATGTAGCCGGTAAAGTACCTCCATGTGCCCTCAAAAAGTACTCACTTTATGGAAAAGAGGACGATTTGATAATTACAAAGGAAAATGTCAAGGATTTGCTAGGTATGCCAAGTACAATGTATGCAAAATATCCGTCATTTGTATGGTGAGACCAGTGTCACCTTTGACTTGGAAACGCTGCTTCTTTCAAGGTTTGAAGGGCCATGGACACCCGGCATCCCTTTCGAGCTTTGAAGTATGTTTTAAAATAAAAGTACATCGTAATGTAAACAGAAACATAATCTTTGTTATCCAGTTAACCTTAATGATTGAAATAATTGAAATGGTTGAAATAAGCGGTAAACTAGTGTGAGCTGCGTCGATGTTTCTAATGAAACAGTTGTGTAAAAAGATAAATTTAACACCGTAAAAAATAGGTGAAACAACTTACTGGCGTTTTGGACTTTGATCGTTTGTCGGAGTAGAAAGAGAGAGATAGAAAGATTCGACCACAAAACCGACGGATGGAAACGGATTGCGAATGGATATTTGAAAATACCACATACTCCATGTATGAAACGTTTAAAACACGACCGAACTGAATGCTGGTGGACTATGGCCCTTTAAATCAAGAGAAAAAAAACTAAATGCTAGTTTTAAATGCTAGTTTTAACAAAGCCAAAAAGCCAAAATATAGTAAAATTTGCCGATGTTTTTTTTATATTTTCTATTTACAAATTTGTTTTCTAATAAGTACTTCAATAACTTCTTAGAGCCATGGAAGGATGATATTGGAGCCGAGGTAAGGATCAAGAACTTCAATTGTTAGCCTCAGTAGCCCTTTTAACAGACGACCGCCATCTTGAATTATAATATTTTAAGTACATGTATCGATTCAATAAGAAACTAGGGAATTCCCGGGGGGAACTAAACAAGAATATTTCTGACTGTAGGAATCCATTAAGTTATAAAAAATGATTACAYTTTAATGTACATGTAGTTACTTGGAAAAATTCTTAAAACCATTTGAATCAAGCTAAGTATAAGGACCCAAGTACATGTAGAGACATAGAGTCGTAGCTGCTCAGCTACGGTGCCTAACCCTTGTTGACATTGTATTCTGGGGTTGTAGAGAATTGAAACAAGTGTATGTTACTAAGGAACGGTTGTCTTTTTGTCCAGGAATCCATACAGAAGAAAAGAAAACTAGACGGAGAACACAAGGTATGTTTATTTTCTAAATTAATTATTAAATGGTGTTTTAACATTAAAAATACATTAGGAAACAAACCATTTATGTACTAGTAAATTTATTTTATTGTTTGTACTMTATCATTTTTCTTTTCTTTTAGGATTCTGAAGTGCAGAACCAGCCAAAAAGACAAAGGTTTGTGATGATAAACTGTTCTTATTGTTGATATTATTGTTGATTCTGCTGCAGTTGTTTCAGATGTTCCACTATCTAACAGTACGCTTTTAATTTTAACTGTTGCTTTCGTTGTTTTTGGCGTTGTMGTTTCTGCTATTGATTCTGTAGGTTTTACTGTGTTTTTGTTGTTGTTTACAGTACATGTTGTAAACTTTATAATTACTCTGTGCTGTATTTTTCAGATTGTCAAATTCAGTAACAGTTGAAGTCAACAGCAACAACCCACATGTGTTATTTACTGGTTTAACAATCGGCAAATCGGCATCTTTAATGAAGGTACAGTCTCTCTTTTTCAACCCGTTAACTTTCGCGTGCAAACTTAGCTCTTTTATTTCAACGCACTGAGGAAGATCAGAGTTCTGACCGAAACGTCTGCGTTTTTCATTAAAATCTTAGGCTAGTGACAAATATTTTTATTCGGTTTTTAATAGCCTCTCGCTGTTTCATCGAACGTCATTCCGAAGAGTTACCGRAGTCGTCGATGATTTAAAATAAATTCGGGAAAATTCATTGTCTCTCGAGAGTAAACACCAAGTKAGACTTTGAGCAAGTCTAGTAGAAATCTATCTAAAAATATCTATCGTATACACGAGTGTATTGTGCATGTAAAAAGCACGCAATAGTCTCCTTCACGGTTACCTTCGCCATCTTGAAAGGTAGCCGTCTCTTTGCATCAAAGCGAGACAACCGGTGAGCGTGCAATCATAGAGAATCTTCTGTCACACCTACAGACAATTATTCATACGCTAAACGGTTGCCTAGATTTGATGTAAAGTAAACTCACGGCTATCTTTCAAGATGGCGCAGGGAACCGTGAAGAAGACTATTGCACAAACGAGTAAAACAATCTMTCTTGTGTATTTCTGTACTTTATTTTGCTGTCAGTAATGTACTCATTGTAGTGTTTGCGCTTGACTATCATACGTGTTTGTTTAGATGTTAGAGCAGCTTGGAGGTGTTCCTGCTACTTGCCCTCGTACCTGTACCCATCTTGTGGCTACTAAGGTAAGTTGTCACTGTTGTGGTATAGAGTGGACATACTAAATCCATGAAACAAATAGTACTAATTAATAATAAATAGTGTTAATTAGACAATAAAATACAAAGGAGTTCAGCTTATTTAAAATTATTATATACTATTTAACTTTCACGGATTAAGTGAGTTCACTCCATTACGCCTTGGTATAAACATACTAATGGTCTATCACTCATACTGCGCTGTGATTGGCTACTCTACTAATGGTCTAATTAATGAATTATTTTAAGGATATTTCAATTTGTTTTCATTATTTGACCGATTAGTATGTTTATACTCGGCCTCATGGGCTATTAGCTCGCAGTCCACTCGACCTCGAGGTCTAATTGTTAATTATAATGAATTATTAAACAAATTGATCGATTTATTGCACGGATATCTGAATAAATTTGTGAATGGACTATTRCATAATAAACACGTAAATTGACAAGTAAATGAAGTAATGAGGCGCGCTTCTTGCAGATCTCTTTGTTGTGAATGAATCGCACACAGATGAATGTGAGTTTGAGAGCATTCGATAGGACAGCTGTCAAACATGAGGGCATGGATTTCTGCTGTGATAAAAAAATATAAAAAAATGCAATTTAATTTTTATTGTAAGTTATTCGATAAGAGCAGTATTTGAGCTTAAAAAAATACGAAAATTCGTGAACGGACAAAAGGTGGGAAACTGCAAAACTTTATACAATTACGCCGGTGATCGTTCTTTAAATCCTCTAGTTTGCGATTTTGTGCGCTGTCATATTTTACTTCTTGTTTTATATCTATAATCAGATCGTTCGTACAGCCAAGTTTTTGTCCGCCATCTCTGTCTGTCAATTCATAGTTACTCCAGAATGGTTAGAAAAGAGTTTCGAAGCGAAAAAATTCTTAGGTAAGTGTAGCCTGGTTACTGGCAACTCATCCATTATTGTGAAACTATTTAGCTTCAGCAATTGGAGTCTTTACTAATCAATTCAATTTTATTCAACATTTATAAATCAAAGAAATTAAATTACATGTACAGACTGCAAATAGTTTAACTAATCGAGGCAGTCTGTACAGATACTTATAGGTGAATAAATATGCGAATAAATATTTTTATTAGACTGACGAATGGATTCACGGATTGCATTCCAGATCCTACTTCCTATACAAGAAAAAGAATTGTAATTAGACTTAGTGGAATTCTCTTTGTTTTTCGTAGATCCAAGGCTTTTTTCTCTCAGAGACGAGGAAACAGAAAAGGAATATAATATGGATTTGCTTACGTCCATAAAAAGAGCTCAGTGCAAGCCATTGCTTCAAGATATTAAGGTTTACGCTACACCTAACGTACAGCCGAAGCCATCGTCCTTGAAAGAGATTGTAGAAGCCGCAGGCGGCCAAGTAGGTGTTCTAGATATTAATATCTTTAATAATCTTTAATAATATCGCCGCCATGTTGTGTCAGTGAAGAGAAGATGAAGGAGAGTGTTTTGTCATTGACATCCAACATGGCGTCTTTCAATTAACGCTCAAATCATAGTTAGTAATTATACTCAAATTGATTATACAACAAAAGGTAGTCGGTAACAGTTTCTGTTGAGAAAAATGTTTATATTTACAACTTTCTTGAATACAGAATAACTTACTTCCGCGCCCTTGTTGTACTTCTTGAATTGCAAACTTGCTTCATTGTTATCAACAACAAAAATCCGCTTTTTTCTCATAAAATCTCCAAACGGTCGCAAAAAAAAACATTTTAAAAGAATAAAACAACTTTGATATTTTGCAAATATTTTCAGAATTCTGAATTATCTTTTGCGAATTGTCTATTTTTTGAGTTGATAATGGGCAAATTTATGAATGATTTCAGTTCATATTTAATGCCTAAACATTTYCTTTATTCCTAGTTTATAACAGATTCTGTAAAGAAGTCGACGTTATCGTCTTTTAAGGCATTGAAAACTAAAGAGGTATGATGTTAAGCCCCAACAAATGAGAAAGTCAACTCCTAATCAAATATTGCAAATAGTGCAGTGAACCTTTTACGTCACTACTTGATTTTCAATGCATTGTGGGATCAGTTTCAAGAGAAAACAAATGAAAACCGCCATGTTTTGTCCCAAAACTGTCCTACAATGCATTGCGTATACGGTACATGACGTAAAAGCTGCAGAGGTCTATTATTCACAGGTTTCTATCATTGCACGCTCAACGGTCATCTCGCTTCTATGCAAAGGCATGGCTACTTTTTAAGATGGCGCATGAAACTGTGAAGGAGACTATTATACAATTCCTTCCTTGCTTTTTTTTTTTTTTTTTTGCTTTTTTCCCCTTGCATTAACCTACAGATTGTACTTTGTGTTGTAGGGCAAACCAGGTTTTATCGTTGTTACTTGCCAAGAAGATTTAAAACACTGTATTCCTTTCATACGGCACGGCATAGGTAAATATATTCGGTGCTGGTGTACTTTTTTCCCGTAAGTCATGAACCACAATGATGCGTTTCCGTAGCGTGTATTGTCTCTACCATCAAGTGAATTGAAAACAGTACGTTAGAGCTCTACGAGTACGCATCAGTGTCGAGGTTGTAGACGTATGACTCTGAGAAACAAACACCAAGGCCGCAAGTGTATGGCCTCGTCCACACGTATCCGTACTAATTTATCTTTTGTTCAACTGATCTAGATATTCATAGTACAGAGATTATTCTAGCGGGCGTGCTAACGCAAAAACTGGACTTTACAGCGTATCCTTTGAAAAAATTCTTCACAATCTAGTTAAGGACTTACGACTTACTTGATAGGAAACTATAGATTTGACAACAAGTATGAGTTTTAGTGCAAGTGCGAGTTTTAGTCGCAACAACCGCAGGGCTGTTTATACGTACGATTTGAGTTGCTTGATAGCAATGATGCGATTATCGCGCTGCAAAAATCGCAAGTGTAAACGGACCTTTAGGAGCTTCGTCCGCAGTCTCAGGCAGCCCAACCATTGCTTTTGTGAACGTTGTTATGTAAGAAACTTGTTTTGGGCATAGAAAAATTGGACTTCATTTGAAAGATATGTTTATCATTTAGTCTTTGTTTTTATTTGTTAAAAAAGTTAATGTTTTTTTCCTTAAGTCAGACTATAGATATAAAGTTCAGTTTGTAAACTGACTTGGAAAATACAACACTAAGTTAATTSCAAGAATATGCAAAGAAATCATGCAAGCGAGCGATTGGAAAAACCTGCCAAATAAACGAGTACTGAGATGGTTAAGAATGTATCTTATCAAAACTGTATATTAAAAGGAAACATTACATGAAAGAGAAAATTGAAAAGAAAATAGAATAGAAGGAAAAACTAATGGKAAAAGATGAAAGAAGATAAAAGAAGATGAAAACTAAAGAGAWAGACGATTTAGAACCTTAAACATGCATGTTCCAAGTCTTGTTAAGTACAAAATGCTTATACATTGTTAGCTTCTATATTAGTCATTTATTTTTTCAAATCTGATATAGAGGATATTACATGGGCGCGCGGAGATACGGATTTTATCTTCGARTGTTGATAAGATCTCTGACGAGTGAGCGTARCGAAATAAAATTCGTATCTCCAAGTGACCACGTAATATTCTGATTACCATATAATTATATATGAAAACAAATKAMTTCCTAAAATCCTTTTTTTAGTTATGATTAATATGCAGAGAAACCTCGAATGTGTTATTTTCAACTTTTCGGAAGAGAAAAATGGACTATTTCATAGATAATTATATGGTAAAGTGTATTATTTTTTATATTTTATTGTAAAATGTTAAGTTCTTATTCATTTCTACCGACGAAAATCAGGAGCGGAAGATCTGACACATTTGTTTTTTATGAATTTATTGTCCTTCTGTTGTTATTGTTATGTTGGTTTTGTGTTGTGCTTGGTGCATTCGTTTCCTTGGCAATATGGCCGCTGTTTCTTAATTTTGTGTATGTCGTTGTTTTTCTAATTATTCAAGGAATACTTTATAATTTACCATGTACAGGCCATATATATTCTATATTAAGCTTTTTCTTTGACCAAGTGATTGAATATTTTAGGATWAGAATACAGTAATGTAACAAATATAAATGTGGCGTTGTGTTTTAGTGCCGAAACTGTGAGCGACTCAAAAATACGCTTGTCCTGAAGAATGGTTTAGGTTTCTGCACCGTAAATTCAAACTGTGATTAAATTCTGCTGWTCTTTTGATTCTAAAAGCGTTGTTTTTGCTGTTTACTTTCAATATCCTTTAATTCTTAAAGTGTCCTTATTGAGCATTCGTTACTTTAAATCAGAATTTATATTATGTCTTTGCTTTCTTATATTAATCACATTTAATGCCCACTGGCAGAGGTGTAAATGACATTGCAGCATGCATGCGAATCAAAATGGTTACTATATTTCAAATGTTCTATCACGTCAGCAGTCCACATGACAAAATAAGCTCAAAAAATTGACTTAAACTATTTGTCATTGACTATTGTCGCGGGCTTGGCTTCATTCTCTTTTCCTTTGTATTCGACGTACATTTCTACTAATGTCAAAGTGAAAACATTGTGTCTTTAAAAGTGAGCTTTGTTTTTGATACCTGCATAAAAAGCTAAAAATACGATTCAAATTACCCTTAAATATTAGTGTTTCCGTGGTTTACAGTCTAGTCCAAGCTAAGTATTTTAATTGAAAGTTTATAATTGYAGCTTTTTCAAGAAACCCCTTGCTGCGTTAGGGTAATTAATCACTAATTAAAACTACTAAACTGTATAATTGTTATTGACAAAAATGATACAAAAATTAACATTCATAAAATGTCCAACCTCCTGGTTAAAGAATACCAAAGCTAATAGGTACCTTATTCGTACTAATTTTCTGGAGTCATTAATTGCGCGATCTTACTGCTTCGTAAACAWTGGTTTAGGCAARAACGCCTATATATTTAAAGCACTTTTTTGCCGAAAACGCGAAAATAAATTCCCGCGAAATATTCCAGTTCTGATTTCGTGAAATGAAAATTGCTACGAATAAGGTATTGTTCAAACTCGTTTTTTCGGTTTTCCTTCCGCGATTGGCATGATTAAATACTCCAGTTTTGAGATCTTATTTCGGCAGTGTTAACCTCGAAAGCATGTAATATATTCTTTCATTCAGTAGAGATCCTATTGTAATGCAAACACTTGTACAAAGAAGACCCAAAAATTTATGCTTGATGGAAGCTAAGTTTGCACAAAAGGGAATTCGAAACTAGAGCATTAAATGTTCATTTCGGTTCATGAAGCAATACCACAAATGGTGGCCTATCTCCGCCTACACCTGCAACACTTCATTAACCACATAGAGATAACCCGATGTTTGCTTTCCTTGTTATGAGAAGATTAAGGTGTTGGATGGTTAGAAGTGTTTGTGTACCCACCTGTCTACATGTCGTAATTGCCTGAAGAAGACACCAGGACACAGTGGGCCACTTTTGCACTATGGCCATCATTTATTACTCCAAAAACACCTCGATTTAAATGCATGAGGCTGTTTATTTTTAGTATTTTTGGTTTCCTCGTAAAGCTTATTTTAAGAAAGAAAACATCAGCTATCTTTTGTAAGGTTTGCAATTTGATAAATTACTTTTTTTCCTATTAGGAAACGTGCTTAAGGCCTTGTTTATGTTGATTATATATGTCTAAAACCTGTCTAAGTTGAAACAACTCGATTTAAATGCATGGGGCTGTTTATTTTTAGGTTTTTTGGTTTCCTCGTAAAGCTTATTATAAGAAAGAAAACATCAGCTATCTTTTATAAGGCAGTCTCTTTCCAATTTGATAAATTACTTTGTTTCCTATTAGGAAAAGTGCTTAAGGCCTAGTTAATGTTGATTATATATGTCTACAACCTGTCTAAGTTGAGCTACGTTTTCAACCTTATTGAATACTATTTTTCCTAAGAAAACATCAGCTATCTTTTATAAGGCAGTCTCTTTCCAATTTGATAAATTACTTTGTTTCCTATTAGGAAAAGTGCTTAAGGCCTAGTTAATGTTGATTATATATGTCTACAACCTGTCTAAGTTGAGCTACGTTTTCAACCTTATTGAATACTATTTTTCCTGTTTGTGTGATAGGAAATTTCCTCGAGTGTTTGATAAGTTTATAATATGTCAAAAGTTTTAAATTCTATGCTGTTTTACTTTGGTGAACGCCTTAGGCAAACTTGAAAGTTRATGCAATAACAGTGTTTTGAAAACTATGGGAAAGCAAGCTAAAAAAGGTCTCTAAAATAAGTGGCAAACTTTATTAATTCCAGTGGTATTGCTACTTTGAAATAATGCGAGGTTGTTTCCATAMATCCGTGAAACGAAGTGTAATTGTCACATATTTGCAATAAAATACACCGAAAACACAGAAAAACCTGCAAAATAAAGCGTAATGAAGTGTAGCACACTGAAGTGTGTTTCACGGGTTTTTGAAAGCCACTCTAAACCGTGAAACAGAAAGATTGTATTTCGTGTTTATGAAAACTTATCTTCTTTGGCTGTAAAATCTTAATCACAGACGACAATATAATTTTAATGACATTTGAATATGAAATTTATTGGAGGTAATCATACATTCATCGGTAATTTGATCATAACATGTTTTTAAAAATTGAACTTTATATTCATGATAATAAAAAAAAGTCGTCAATTTGAAGTCTGATCTAAAAAACATCAGCTATATAATCAGTTTTACATCCGGCTTATTTTCATTTATTTTTTGATATTTTTCAGTATTGTGAATCTGTGTATGTTTGCAAAAACAATATATTTTGAATATTATTAATTGCGATTGTTATGTTATCTTCGASTGTATACAATATACTCTATAACAATTTGGTAGTTTTTATAATTATTTTTCCGGTTTCATAATTTTACTCATATTCCAGATATATATAAAAWATATCAGAAATTATGGGATGATTATCCCCAATATTTYTTTCAGAAAGTGCTAGTGTTGGGCAACTTCAAAAAAKTATTGGCGATAATCCCAGAATTTCTGATATATTTTATATTTACTTGGAATATGAGTCAAAATGATCATAATTTCTGCATATTGCTGTTTTTATAAATATTCATCTCTATTGGTATTTGAATTATAACATATCAGGCAAGCATCTATCTTTTCGTCTGATTCAAAACAGCTTTTTTAGCCATTATGTTAGTGAAAATTAAAATTAATAATAAGAATGATAATAAACAACTGTTTATAATTATTAGACTAATTTTATAATATCTTTAAGTTTTTCCTTAACTTTGTTATTGATCATATCCTTCATATGAATTTGAGTTGTGTGCTTAACTTTCCATGAATCCACGCCACAATCAATATCAACAAGGAGCCACTTGCACTCAAGCCAACACTACAGAGTTTTTTTTTTTTTTTTGAAACGGAGACTTGTCCCGTTATCCGTAAAATTCTCAATATATTTATCGCATAATACCTTAGTTTTATCGCGAAAATTCATCGTTTTTGCTATTAGAGTTAGCTGTGTGAAATCCAAGTACTTTGACAGGAAGGTTAACTCGCAAAAAAAAGCACTCAAGATCCCCAAGTATTGGTCGAGTATCTGCCAATCGCTGAGCTAAAATCACATTGGCTCTGAAAAGTGATAAATTTCTGCTAAAGATATTGCACGATCGGAAAATGTTTGCTTTACTGATGAGAAAATCCTCTATGTTTTGAAAGGCGCTGAATTGGCATCACTTAAACGTGAAATTAAACCGAAAAGCTCTTGAAAATATGTCTGCCTCAAACAGATTGGTAAAAATTATTACTAAAGAAAGCCAATTTTGATGAAGAGGAATATTTTCGCTTGATTTTTAAAGTACGAATTGCAATTGTTAATAAATGGTTGCTCAAATATAAACTATCTATTGTTTAAATACTAATTTAACTTTCTTAAATTTGACGTTCTTTAAGAAATTTACGGTTTGAATTTTCTAGAAATGCTGTTGAAGCTGTTAAGAGCCGTGTTTTTTTGAAAATTGCTAATTTGGTTAGTTTTCTTTCTGTAATGCCTCAATTCCCTTAATAAAGCTTGAATAATTTTAGTTCTTTGCAACAGCATGTCAAGAATTAACGTGTTTTTCTAGCGCTAGGTGTGTTTAATTTCGGTTCGGTCAATTCAAATTAATATTTTGTATAATCAGAAACTTTAAATGAACACGTCTTTTAAAATCCCGGGCGCAAGTAGCGACCGCGTTTTCGCATTATCCTCTCAGATAGTTGCCAAGATAAGACGACATTCTTTGTTTTACCATTTTGACAACCTATCTCGTGTCAAAATAGATATGTGTTTTAACTTAACTTTCCCAAAACCTTCTTGATCTTTAGTGGAAAAGCAAATGCAAATTCTTATTTAAATATTTGTCTTAATAAGATGAAAATCGTCCTGCTTGAAACAATAAGCTAAACTACTTAATTTTCGCACCTTAAATTCTCCATCTTAATCCACCTATAATATTTCTTTCAATAAACAAATTCATACAACACATAAGGATTTATAGACAACTGACTTCAATTAGAGTTTAATAGAACTCTTCTTCAAAGTTAAATCCCGCGAAATATACTCGAACAGATGGCTTCAGGGCCATGGGGAAGAGGATCTTTACACCCAGCGCAGCAAATTGCCGAACTTCGGAAATGAAAACAAAGCTATCGCTTAATTTTCTTTCCAAGAGGCTAAATAACACTRCCCTTTGCGGCAAAATATAATGCATTGTTATCTATTTATTTGTTTTAAAAACACACTGAGCGAGGGTGATTTTCCTACAGGCTTTGCGTAACAATCTTCGCSTCCTGTTGATAAAACTTTCAGTGTTTTAGAAAGCCTTCAATCAAGATGTATTAGCGAAATGTCAATTTCTGACTCGCTAATCTGATAAATTAAGGTGGGTCGCGCATGAAAAAATGGTTACTAGGTTACACGACGATTATAACTCGAATTATTCATTCCCGTGTATATATGTTGATGTATAGAGCTTCTAACTAGATTAGACCACGACAGTCAAGCTAARAGCTCYCTWTTCACGTGTCATGTTGAGGAACAGCACCGACAGCCAGGGGAATTTTTCTTGTCTTTCTCTCAAAGTCAACTTCGATATAACAGCAGAACTTTTCACTGCACATATAATTACACTAGTAGTAAATACGATCACTGCTTTCACAGCCTTCTTTGGGAACCTACTGATCTTGATCGCCGTTTTAAGGACTAGAAGTCTGTATTCGCCTTCGAATGTTCTTCTTTGCTGCCTCGCCCTGTCTGATCTGTGCGTCGGTCTCATAGCTCAACCAGCTTTCGTTGGCCATAAGGTTGGCGAATTGACTAATAACTTTAAGATATATTGCTTCACTAGAATTGTATCTGAAACTGCTGGCTTTATAACTGTTGGCGTGTCGACTCTCACACTAACTGCAATTGCCGTTGAGAAGTACTTTGCTTTAAAGCTACACCTGCGATATCGCGAAGTTGTCACATGTCGGAAGGTTCTTGCCATCGCTGGATCATTYTGGATTCTCTTGTTTGCGCTGGGGGGCTTGCGTTTTGTGACTGGAAAGGCATTCGAAGCCACAGTGGTAATTGTTCTTCTGCTATCTCTCTCAGTAACTCCTTGGTGCTACTATCAGGTATTTAAAACCGTTAAACGYCACGAGAATCAGATAAAAGTACAGTCGGTTCACCACAAGACRACGTTTTTATCCACCGAACGAGAAACTCAAGRAAATTCCTCATCAACYTCTCGACGKAACATTATAAAGTATAAAAAGTCCACGATTGCAATGTTGTACATTCTGGGAGTATTTCTAGTGTGTTACGTGCCCACTTTATTCATTCAGACTGCTATTTTRCTAAAAGGTTATACAAGAACTGCAAAAATTGCTTATGTGTACATTAGCACCTTGTTGCTTGTTAACTCGTCGTGCAATCCAGTCATCTATTGCTGGAGAATGTCGGAAATACGGCGCGCAGTGAAGTCAACACTTAGCAAGGTCATAAAATCGATAGAACTAGAAGAGACCACAAACTACACGCAGGACAGGTCTAATATTCAGACGAGATCTAAAACTAACGCAGAAAACAACGGCGAAGTAGCTAGATGATAATATACTGTTTGACTTTTTAGTGAATTGCATATAACTTTGCAAGTTTCTGCAGTGAAAATTTACTAGTTGAACTTTTAGTGAATTTCATAGCTTAGAAAGTTTCGAACTTGTAATAGAGTATCATATATATACACTATAGATTTTGCTTTGGTCTTTATCGCTGGTTTATTTCAGGAGGAGCCGACCAGGTCTGTTCTTCTAAATAACTGTTCTTATACGATTTTTGTCATGAGAAAAAGTGAATGAGAACTAGAATTATAAATTGGGAAAAACTCTCCCTTACGGCCGTTACCACTTGAGTATTGAAGAGATACAATTGGAGATATTCGAGATTTTCCATCCTGCAAAGATCGTGAAGAGATTCTTAGGAAAATCGCGAGAGCTTCTTCCTCTCCGTGATAAAAAAAAATTATATATCTGAATATGTATTATTTGCTGGCAACCAGTTGTAACTTACAGCTGTCTGGGACATAAGAACAGATATATTTCTCCCAGGRACCCTTCGTCTCCTCTTGTTATTTTAATGACATGTCTTTGTTAACCGAGCCTGACTACTCGCGACTCGCTGTCTAGTAATCTAAGCTCTTGCAGCGTTTACGTGGATCTCGCAATTTTTTTTAAGTGCTTAAATGTGCGTCCGATAGTCTTTTGTGCAGCGATAAAAAATGAAATTTTCACTATATGTTTCAAGAATTGCTTTCATTAGGGCATGAATGTAAACAGGATGGCACTTAATTTTTAGTTAATTAAAAGCCTGCCATGTCTGATATTACGAGCTGAGTAAAATCCATTCTAGAAAGCTCGGCGACTATGCTTTTSCCGGAAGTAACTGATTTAAAAAAAAGAAAAGGAATATGGAAACTAGCCCTAAGGGTTGCAGGTGTAAGATGGCAAATATCTATTGATTCTATGCACTTAAATTCAATAAAAATTGCTTGTCTGTAGGAAAAGAACATTTTTCTTGATTCTTGTTAAATTTACTAAGAATATTTTATCCGGTTTATGTCGAAAGCATGTATCTTAAGGCAAAAAGTGTGCGCATTAAATGATGTGATGTCATCGTACCTAGAAATATCCGCATCCGAGCATCCCTATACATATTCATCGGGTATCCAGAGACACAATTTCCACTTTGGAAAGCTTATATGTATATCTCCATTGACACTGTGGAGAAGCCTGCGTTACATCCGGAATATTCTTCGATATTTTCATTTTTTTTATTTTTTTTTTGAAATTTCCGGGATGCAACGCAGGCTACTGTGAAGACACCAATTGTATACGGTTGCCATTTTTTGTTGACAATACTGCATCCACTAATAATACATATCTTAGCTTGTGTGGACGGAGTCCTAGTAACAATTAGATTTAGCCATTTCTCAGAGTGGTTTTACAGAGTGAATTTACTACTCTATACTTTTTACATCATTTATTACGACGCTGGGAGGGGGTGGGGGGGAGGATTGTGCATGTTGGCATAATTTTACGATGTAGTCTACAATCACGACACACTATCACCTCCACACTCTCCCTTCSCCCTCCCCCACATATATCAAGGTAACACTTCATATCCTTCTACGATTACTAGGAAGCATTTGAAAATCCCCTGCTATGGTAGGGTCAATGATTCCATTTCCCCTCCTCAACCGCCTCTCTTTCGCAATTTTGTCAGCCTGCACTCCCAATGTGCAAATAAATAAAAAAGGCCTATATAATCCCGCGCTCCGATACTTGGATATATATTATATATTTAGCTACCTAAACTAGAGCGATCGCACTTAAACCGTGCAACTGTACAAAATCTAACTAGGCACTAATTTGTACAAAAGGTGGACCTGAAGCAAGG